ATACCCAAAATCAACACAAGTATTAGAGAATAAGCAAAAACGAAAGAAGAAAACCACCCAGATTTTGACAAGCACACCAATCTACAAACAAATGGAAGAAGAACAAATAAAAAAGAAAACAAGAGAAAATAGAGTTAATAAATCATCAACTACAAAAAGGAAAATTTATTCAGTTAACACTGAAGAAATGGAAAAAGATTTGGTATTGGAAAAAACAAGAAAAGAAACCTTGAGCAGCTCCAGCAGTTCTTATAACTCAAGCGATGGAAGTTTAGATCTTACTGATTCAGATGAATGAAAATGAAAAAACATTAGAGGAAATTGAAGTCGGAAGCTTTGTGCTCGTTAGATTTGCGACGAAAAAACAACTGAAATATTGCGTGGGGACAGTATTGGAGAAGGGAAAATATGCAGACGAATTGCTTGTAAATTTTCTGAGAAAGCGTAAACAAAACAAGTTTTCTTATCCATATGTCCGAGATGAATCTATTGTTCCGACTTCTGATATAGTAATGCATCTTCCAACATCTATAACTTTAGGGGGAACTGCAAGAACCCAAAGCCTCTATTATTTTCCGGTCGATTTTTCTTCGTTTAGTTTATATTAGTATTTAGTCTATCTGCCTAAGATTTGTTTAGCATCACTTTGTTAATTTAGTATTTATAAAATAAATATGTTTTAAAATGATGTTTGTGATTACCTTTTTACGATAAAAATTAAACAAATTGCAGTGAAGAAAGCAGTGGCCACTGTAAGTATACCATGGTGACCACTGTACCAATCCAGGTTCGTACAGTGGCCACATAAACACGTTTAAAAAAAAATAACAAAAAACAAAAGAGAACATTTTTTTTACTTACCCAACTAAAAATTATTTTATTTTATGACGTAACAAAATATGTAGACTAACGAAAAATGTAATATTCATTACCAAATCGAAAATATATGAAAAATAAGAAAATGGTGACCACTGTTGGGCGCTCTCCCCTACCTGGAATCTGGAATTGTGGGGAGAGTAGCAAAGCTACAGCACTTCAATCCACCTGAGCCGCCAGCCAGCCTATTACAGTGAAAAAAGTGGTGACGTTGCTCAGGGGGATCTCTCTAATATAGGCCATTGAAGGCCAGCGTTCTCCCAACATGGACTCTCTTGTTGACGAGACGGCAGTGCATTCACATAGTACATGCAATACCGTCTCGTCTTCCTGTTCACAGCCCCTACAAAGAGGTGTTTCACACTTCCCCATATTGTAAAGGTGTTTCCTTAGCAAACAGTGTCCAGTTTGAATACCTGTCACCAGGCGAAGATTTGACCTAGACATGGCCAGATATTTTTTGGATGTATCTTTGCTAGGATACACTAAGAGCTCCTTAGCGAAGTGACAGCTAATTGTTTCATCCCACCGTTTCATACATTCTTTGGGGGTGTCTTCCTTAATAATTCCAGCAAGTGCCGACAACGGAAGCACACTGGAGGGACCGGGTCCAAAAATATTGAGGCTCGATGCGCTCCTGACTAGTTTGTCAGCTTCTTTATTGCCATAGCAGCGCTCGTGTCCCTTTCCTCAGGGATCCCGGAACGATTTTTGAGGAGTTTTGATAAGATTAATATTAAAGTTTATCCAGCGGTGATCTGACATTGAGGCAGTATCTGCCACATGCCAGTTCTGGATTACATTAGATATGCGCGCCGTAGTCAACGTGACATCTATTAATGTTTGACTTCTTGAGTTAACAAATGTCGGTACACAGCCTCTATTACTTATACAAAGGTTGTTAACGTTAATATAGTCATATAAAGACTTACCCCTTGTGTTGTTGTCTTCACTGCCCCAATATACATGGTGTGAATTTGTATCACAAGCCCTGATAAGTTCCCATTTCTGGTTGCGACAGTGTGCCACCAGTTCCTCCATCTCCCTCGTTGGTGGTGGGGTGGCCGAATTCTCAGGGAGGTAAACTGATGCGATGACAACAGCAGTTTGTTTGCCCTTGACTACACACTCCACTTTCACGGCAGTCAGATCAGATGTTGAAAGGTGTTGTAGTGGTTGGGTTTTAATATGGCGAGGGGTGTATATAGCCGTCCTCGGCCTGTCTGTGTTGGGTTAGTTTATTTAAACCTGATATCCTATTTTCACCGTATCAGGTATTAAGAGGACAGATCCTGTTACGTACTTATTTTCTGATACTTGTAACGTTCAATTACCAGTTAACGTTAGAGGCACAAGAAAATTAATAAATTAAGTAAATATGGTCACCGCTGTATATACGACTCTTAACACTTTGTCAGAATTAAAACGCTGGTTGCATATCTAAATACAGAAAAATAAACATAAATCATGTAAAAATATGGGCAAATATGCGTGCGTATGATAAAATATTTATAAGTACTAATTTTTCGCATCCTATTTCCGTAATCTCCCTTAAACTCCTTAAATTCCTGAAAAAGGCAAAGATGAGATATCTAGTGATAGTAAACAAATATTACGTTAAATAATTAAAACAGTAATCGTCTTTCTGTTCTTTAACATGGAATTGCATAATAATGGAAAGTACCTGATGATTTATTTAAAAATATTGTTAAAAATGAAAGGCATGTAGAACGTTGGCTGGATAGAATACAAAAAATGTTAAAGCTTTTTGCGCAAGTTCGGCGAGCGCATGCGAGAGGTAGACAGCTATTAGCGTGCGGAAATTCCGACGAATATTTTATACTAGGTTGTGTTGTGTTAAGGCCTCAGAAAAACTAGGGTGAGTTTCATTATTTGAAAATGCATAATTTGATAATTATTTGTTACCCGCAATTGTACTTTATGTCTTTCTCCTTTTCTCCCTTATAACAAATCATTGCTCGCCAATGCTGCCCCCGCCGCCCGCCGCCCGCTGCAAGGTCCCCGACCCCACTGCCTGATGCTTGCATTGCCGACCGACACCGGCCATCCGATACCGCTTCCCGCTCCCCTTCTGAAGCCGGCATCTAGCTCCTGCACGCACCTGGTGCCGCTTCTGACGTCACGCTCCTCGATGACGACGACGACCTCCTGGTCATTGTCGAGGGATCCCGTCTCTTTTTCTGCAAGCCTGATCCGATCCCCCACCACTGACACTTCTTCAGCATGACCTTGGAGGACATCATCGCCATTGCTGCTGGAGACCTGGTGCCAGCTCCGGACGGCGTGATGAAGTGGCCTAATTCTCTCCTTAGTTAACTATTCTGCGAAAATTTGGTGTTTCTAAATGTAACACATATTTAATCAAAATCTGTTGTAGAATGTTGCTGTCTATCTATCCATATTACACTTCCCTATACCTATCTTTTTTAATTTTTCTGTTATTGACTGTTTTTGTGATAAATAATTAAAATGATCCAATATCTTGCGAGGATGGCTGTGAAATTGTTAGCAAACTTAAAAAACAAAGCAACCAAGAATGTCATAAGTCATCATTTGTGTTAGTCTATACTAGTTTGTAAATAACGAAAAAAACCGTATGCAAATGCTGACATTTAAAATTTATTATTTATTCATGGAATTATAAATAGAACATGCAGAATTTTTAATGAGATATCCTAATTTACTCCTAATAATTAGAAAGACATTAAGAAGAATTATAAGAAATCAATCAAATCAAAATTAATAAATAAAAAATGGCACCAAGAAAATACGTTAAATAAATATCAAAATACTTAGTAGATAACTAAAGAAGTACATAATTATTGTTACTGATTAACGTGAAATAAGAATATTATGTTTTAAGTTATAAATGTTAGCGCCATTACCTTTTATTTTCAAATCAGTTTTTAACTAAGTACCTACCACTGTCAGATTAACAGCAAATGATGACTTATGACATATTGGCTGTTTTGTTTTTAAGTTTGCTAGCAATTTCACAGTTATCCTCGCAAGAAATTGGATACTTGTCACAAAAACCGCCAATAACAGAAAAATTAAGAGATATAGGTAAATGTATAAATATAGGGTCAAATTCTACAACGTGAAATTTGGATTAAGCGCCCCAAAAAACTCCCCCACAATGATTTTCGGGTTGTTTTTGGCAATCTTGTCAGGAAAACTCTCGGAGATGACGTCGACGTCCAGGTTCCGGTGCACCAGGTGTTTGCCGATGCCATATTTGAATTCAGCGACCCAAAAAAACTCCGGGCGCCGAGTTTCTCTCCTTCCCCGCGTGAATTTTGGGAGAGTCCCTCGGAAATGACGTTCATCGGCGTTCCTGAGCTCCAGGTCGGCTGTGGGTCATCATATTCGTGATCAGCGACCTCGAAAACCCCCGGGAACCCCATTTGGGCCAGTTCTGACTCTTATTTACAAAGTTATTAAATCTTCCAAAAGCCGTCTCAAAAAAATGCATTTTTTGAATGCATTCTTGGCTGCAGCAATGCAATTTCCGGTTTGTATAAGATACAAAGTAGATACATTTTTTACAAAAAAATTTTGGAAGCGAATGCAAGAAACCGCATTCCGATCCGTCTTAGTGCAAAAAATTCCGAGGTTGAGTGCTTCATTGCCTCTACTATTAATAAACAATCGATATCAGTTTTTTTTCTATCACCATTTTGGCTGTACCCTATAAAATTATCGAAAATCAACCACCTATAATATTTATGTAGATACGTGTGTTCTTTTATTTATTAATATTAAACAGTTTTACTTTTCGTAGAAGATATTGGTTTGTCTAGTTATCTACATTCCTCTGGAGCTGATACTATTTGTGAACTTTGTGGTGATATTTTTCCTCGCCCTGTTACCTATCACATGCACCAAGCACATCCTGGATGTGGACAACATGCAGGTGGAAAAGGATATAATTCTGGTGGAAACTATTGCCTAGGATGGGCTGGAAATTGTGGTGACGGAGGAGTTCGTAAGTGATAACATGAAATAATCTCAGTCAAATTATAAAAAAAAAATAAATTTCAGCTGGTAGTTCTTGGTATTTGTTATGTGATAATTGCCGTCAAAGACATGTAAAAACAAATATGGGGAAGAGTCACATAAATATTCATAACAAATGTACTACTAAAAAGAAAAATTATGGTTCAAAAGCTGAATCACCATCCGTTGTTATGTTAGAACCCCATAATATTATGAGAAATAATGCAATGTTTCTCCTAGATGTAGCAAGTTCAGCTGAATCTAATATGAGGAGGACGAGAAGATCATCTGTAACTATTATGCCATCAGTTTCGGAAAATAGTTCTCCACCTGAACCTACAGGACCTTTTGGACCACTTCCACCCTTTCAATGCCTAAGTATTTTAGATGGAAATTTTTGTAATAATGAAGACTTATTTTTTAATGGCTATTTAAATAATTATACTATTCATGAAACTTCTGGATCATCATTTCAAAGGGTAATATAGTTTTTCTTCCGTTCATAAATTAACTAATTTGAGTATATTTGACAAAAAACTTTAATATACTGTCTAATAATTTATGTGTGGCATTTTTAGCACTTTTTAAATTGGATACTTTCCCTCACACAAAATAAATTAAGAATTAAAACCAAAAGAAAAGTTGACAATATGTGCTTTTTCGAAAGAATTAAAAAATAACGAGCCAAGAACTATTATAAAAATGATAAATTTGAATAAAATAAAACATGCAATTAATAGCGCTAAGGAAGAAAATAATACAATAAAAACCTGTAGCAGTTCTCAAGTAACTTCATCCGCGAACTCTTTAAAATTTAAGTAGAGCAATAATAGTAGCAGACTACAATGACTACAATTATAGAGGTAACAATGTCTCGTTTATGTTTCAGCCTCTTTCCGAAGTAACAATGTCAGATAATGATCCAGATAACAATAAGGGACTAAGATTTCATAGATCAGTATCAATGGGTACAAATGGAATTCCGTGGTCTAAGTCTGGATATGAAAATAGAATGACAACAGTGAGAAAAAGAAATAATAGTAATTATGAAATCACTAATAATGGTATGAACTACTGTTGTACAATTTCTCTGACACTTTCAAGCAACTTTTTTTTTGTAGAAAGTGGCTCTTCTTTACTATGTAACCCATCAAAAGCATTACAGAAACTGATTAATCAGAAAGATGATAACGATTCCTTTGTAAATAGTGGAAACAATAGTGCAAACGTGAACAATTTTAAATTACTTCAAAGGCCAGTCTTGCAGTTTATTTTACAACATCACAATTTGGATCTACTACAATTTTCTATGAAAAGAGCACTCAGGTATGTGGTTTATTATTATACATATACATAGTAAAGTAACACAATTCATAAAAGAAAATAAAATTTACTTATTTATTTATTTATGGAGAAGGGGGCAAACACAGGCTTTATAGACCAAAACAATGTCCACAAAATTTGAAAGTAAATTTTCAAATCGTCTGCGTAGAGTAAAATTTAAAACAGTCACGGATATCGTTGATATTGATTAAAAATAGTAATGGTCTCAAATGTGATCCCTGAGGAACACCTGACATTGCAACGTAGAGGGGATATTTGTAACCACTAATTCATACAATTTAGATATGTATATTATGATTAATTTGATCGAATGCTTTGCTGAAATCGCTGTATTCATAGCACTTGTAATATATCGAGAGTATATTACAAAATTAGATTTTAAAAAAATGCATGTTGCTCAATAATTATAAACGATTTAACCGCGCTAAGTAAATGCTTATAACATATACGTTCAAAAATTTTGTTAAGAATATTTAATTTACCAATTGGTCGGTAGTTGAAAACTTCTTTTTTATCGCCTTTTTTATAAATAGGAATAACAAATGCTTGCTTCCATATGTCAAGAAAATCTCCTTCAAGAGACTTGTTAAATAACAACAAATGAGAGGGTTACAAAGGGAACCTGCACATTTTTTACAAAAAGTTGGGGGAATACCGTCAGGTCCGACCTCTTTGTTTTTGTCTAATTCAGTTAGAGTATTTAATACTTCATCTCTCGTTACAATTACATTGTCAATCTTGATATTGATATTAATGAAGTTATTGATTTTAGCAGGACACTGGTCATACGGTCATAGCCACTATGAAAAAAATTGACACAATGCATACAAATGTCTACACCAGGGGTCGGCAAGTAATTTTAGGTGGGGTCCGGATACTTTTGAAAATTTAACGAAGTCCACAAAAAAAACACATTCCTCAGTAACTTTTTATTTTAATTTGCACTCACAAATTTAATCTACCTACTAACCATTATGAACTCAAATCAATCACGCAATTTTAGTAGAAATGATGAGGGTGGCACTCAAACATATTATTATCAATAGAAAACTATTTTTTAAATAATTTAATTAATTTATACTTTCAAAAAATTTTTGGGAGTCCATTATTTTACCTTCCGCGGTCCGGATCTGGACCGCGGTCCGCCAGTTGCCGACCCTTGGTCTACACAATTAAAAATAAAATGATCGTCATGTTTAATAGAATTAGGGAAAGAACCTCGACCTTTTTGAGAAGAAGCATACTGTTAAAATTTTTTAGTTTTTTAGGTATTGTATTTTCTATAGATTTTAAATGATTAGAATAATCTTTATAAATTGCTTTGATCTATGCTTTAAAGTACAGAACAATCTACAGATTCATTTCTATAATTTTTTGTGAAATTTTATTTTTTCTTTAATAACATTAATAATATTATTTGAAAAGTAGAAAGGAAACTTCTAATTTACAATTTTCTTAGGAACGTAATTAGTTATAACATAATAAATTTTCTCATAAAAAGTAGATAAAAATTCATTTATATGTTCATAAAAAGATCATGCCAACTGATATTTTCCAAATTGCAATGTAATTAGTTTTCTTAAAGTTAGGTATAAAATTATTATTAGGCTTTAGTGATTTAATTAAAGGACAATAGATGAATGATGTGCGTCCTCATCAACAAATGAACTGTTGCAATATTGTAAACTTTATATCACAATTAGATAAAATATGCGTTTTAGGAAAAATTACTAGAATAAGTCGATTTGATGTTGATTTTGCGAAATATTAATTTGTGGGTAGTATCTAGTAGGTATACAGGGTGTTCCAGATAGACCTTCAATTATACGTTTCTGGAAAACTACGCGTACTGGTATTCTGAAAATTTCTGTACGGGGGTTTCTCCTAATGTTCTATCGATTGAAAATATTGGCGTCGCCGTGGAACTTCCGGTTCTACCGGAAGTAGACGTCAACTCGCTTATTTCAAATGGAATGTACTACTTTTTATTTAATTTTTGGATTCTACATCGAATTTTAAGGTAAGTTTCATAACCTTACTTTATCATTAAACTCAATAGTTTTTGAAATATTTTGACTTTTTCAAAATTTTTGAAAACCTACCTACACTTAATCGATTCTATCTCCTCCAATTTTTAAGATAGGAAGCTGAAATTTTAGATGGTCAATACCAAATCGTGTCCAAATATCTGGAATATTCGAAAGTTGGTGCATGTTACACAGTGCGTCTAAAAAAACACGAACCAATTGTGTCAAATTGAAAGTTTAATAACTCGCTTATTTTAAATAGAACACCCTGTGTTTTATAATGCCAGTATATGCACCTGTTAATTCTCTTTCCATTGGTATAAGCATTCCCTATACCTAAATCCCACCGATTTTGAGATATTTGAACATAAGTACGGAGACAAATATAATCCGACAGTTAGCTGTAGGTTGGCTGTGGAAAAACATTTAAATGTCACCAAGTGTCATTACTTATTTAGCAGATTTGCTGTCATTGCTGTAAATCGAGTTTGTGGATATTCCAAGTGTCTTCAATAACAATGGCACACTCTGGGTACACACACGACGACTACACGTTGGGGTAAATCGCCAGGTTGCAAATGGTGTATTAACATAAATGAAAATGGCTTCCATTTATGCTTCTTCAGAATTCTATGAATAGTTCCTATTGATAGACGTGAATTTATTATGCATCTCTAATTGACGCCTGTGGATAAGCGGTGAAAAATGGCAATACATTTACTTCATTTTCTTCGTTGTCCTACTTTTATCATGTTCCGGGAGAAACTTTCTATTCTCAGAACAATTCTTTAATAGTCTTCTGACCATATCATGACTTGGTCTGTGCTTATTTGGATATCTTTCTGCAAACACGCGACATGTTCTACTAACAATTTTATTACACTCGTGTGTATACCCAGAGTGTGCCATTGTTATTGAAAACATTTGGAAAATCGACAAATTCGCTTTACGGCAACGACAGCAAATCTGTTAAATAAGTAATGACACTTGGTGACATTTAAATATTTTTCCACAGCCAACCTACAGCTAACTGTCGGATTATATTAGTCTCTGTACTTATGTTCACATATCTCAAAATCGGTGAGATTTAGGTATAGGGAATGCTTATACCAATGGAAAGAGAATTAACAGGTGCATCTACTGGCATTATAAAACACAGGGTGTTCTATTTAAAATAAGCGAGTTATTAAACTTTCAATTCGACACAATTGGTCCGTGTTTTTTAGAAGCCCTATGTAACGTGCACCAACTTTCGAATATTCCAGATATTTGGACACGTTTTGGTATTGACCATCTAAAATTTCAGCTTCCTATCTTAAAAATTGGAGGAGATAGAACCGATTAAGTAGGTATGTTTTTTCAAAAATTTTGAAAAAGTTAAAATATTTCAAAAACTATAGAGTTTAAGGATAAAGTAAGGTTATGAAACTACCTTAAAATTCGATGTAGAATCCAAAAAATAAATAAAAAATAGTACATTCCATTTGAAATAAGCGAGTTGACGTCTACTTCCAGTAGAACCGGAAGTTCCACCGCGACGCCAATATTTTCAATCGATAGAACATTAGGTGAAAGCCCCGTACATACATTTTCAGAATTCCAGTACGCGTAGTTTTCCAGAAACGTCTAATTGAAGGTCTATCTGGAACACCCTGTATACATATGAGTAAATAAATAAGAGGATTTTATTGGATAGGGCGGACGGAGCATGCATTCACTGAGGCCATCTCGCGTTGGTGCAGTAAAACATTGTCCTTTATTGAAATTGTTAAACAGAAATCTGCAACCACAGATCAAATTTGTAGGCTTTTTTCGCGACTGAATACTGGTGAATATCTGACTTGTAGTTACTATTTCTATCTTTTTTATCTTAGTTGTCATATGGTAGTTTAAATCTCTTCATTCACTTCATTCACACGCAAATGCGGCCGGTGTAGGCGCTTTATGGGACCTCCTTTTGTCCTGGCTGGGCCCCGCCGGCTAGGGCCCTTTCTTCTGGCGCTCCTCTTGCTTCGCCGGCTCGTCTGTGTAAACCCCGGGGATGGTGTCATGTTTATGATTGGGTAGGGTTGTGCGGCTATGCAGCCTGGGATGCGCTTTGCTAAGGTGGCCCTTAGGCTAGCGCGGGAAGGGAGAGGTAAGGAGGGTATGGGGGGGTGTGTATGTGTGTGTGTGTCGTTGTCTTCGTTTCTTGATCCTGGCTGTCTCTGAAACAGAAAAGGTTAGCGGGCAGGGGGGGGGTCATTGGGGTGGTCACCCAGGGTCAAAAAGTTGGTGTCTAGGTCTTTTGTGTTTGTCGGTCACGTCGGGTACGTAGTCAACGGCTTGCCTGAGGAGGGGATTGTCATGTCTAGCGGCTACGTCAAATCGTTTCTCCGCGTTTTGTCTTATTGTCTGTGTAGCGTTTGTGTATTGTAAGTCTCGTAATATGTCAGTGTTTCTTACGTACCAGGGCGCGTCGGTGGCCGTGCGGAGGGCTATGTTTTCCACAGCCTGTAATGACTTTAAGTGGCTTTTTGCCGCGTGACCCCACGCCGTGGAGGCGTAGGTTAGCTGCGGTTGAAGTACCACCTTGATAAGCGTTCGCTTATTCCTTAAACTGAGGGTGTTTCCACCTTTGAGTAAGGGATAGAGCCTAGCCCTGGTGGTCTTCGCTCACGCCACCGTCTCCACGATGTGCAGTTTCCACAGATTTTGAGTTAAAATGTTTAAAAAATAGTAATAGGAATAGTCACAATAGAAGTTGTGCCGACATTATTTTTAGGATCAACTACAAGTTCACCTATTAATTGTAATAATATCACCTTGAAATCCTCGTTTAGTATCCAATATTTAGCAAATCAATTTGTTAACCTGTAACATTACAGAATTTTCAGATTACGAGCTGCCAAACTTCAATTTCGGATCATTTTTCACCTCCATCTTTTAAAAAACCATAATGCACATATTTAAAAT